AGCTGGAACCCTGCAGGCTCCCCCTCCTTTTCCCTCCCGACAGGATTTCTGCTCCAAACGCCCCGGGTTTCCTGTTCCCAGCTGGGGAAGGGGAGGGACTCCCGGCCTTGGGGCCTCACAGGCGAGCTCTGCCTCCCGAGAGGAGGAGGAGGAGGAGGAGGAAGGGGAGGATGAGGATGAGCTCCGTGCCCCCAGCGCTTGCCAGGCTCCGTGTCCCGCTCAGGACCGACACCATCACCCTCAGTGGATGGCAATGAAGGAGCAGACTCTGGGCTGCCCACTCAGGAACGGGGGATTTGATCTCTGGAGGAAATGAAGAGACTCTGAGGAGATTCCTCTTCGCTGTCGACGGTTCGGGGAGGATTTTCCAGCATGCAGCGGGAAGAGGGTAAGGAAAAGTTCCAGGAGCAGCATCCCCAACTGCTGGAGGGTCCAGCTGCTCCCTCGGGCTCTTCCAGAGGCACGGGATGGGTGAGAGGATGGAAGGGAGACAAGCGGAGAAATACGGGGCAGGAAGATCTGAGGTGGATCCACACAGAGCCCCCGGCTTCTTTCACATCCCAACCTGCTACAGCAGCMCTGAGGCACTCGCCACTTCAAATCCCTCAAAGCTGGAGTGGTTACAGTAATTTGGGGGCAATGAGGAAGGATATTCAGCTKTTTCCAGACAGGGATAGTGTGGAATTGTCCAAAAGCGTCAGCCAAGGAACGCAGAGCGCGGTGCCTGCCCCAGCAGCARTCCCGGGGCTCCAGGGCAGCGCTGCCTGCCCGGGAACGGGTCTGGAACGGGAACGGGGCAGTGCAAGGTGTTAACGGGTCCTGACATTCTCCCCAGCAGGGCAAAGGAACGAGGATGAGGAGCCAGAGGCTCGGGCAGCCCGGAGGAGCCGAGGCAGCGGAGCGGCAGCCGGAGGGTGGGCGTGGGGAGTGGTGCTGCACTTCTTCCTGGTAAGCAGGGACTAAAGCGGGAGCTGGGGCAGGGGGGAGCTCTCCAGCCTCCCTCAGAGCATGGGACACGCTGCTTCCACCCCTCCAGGGCACAAATCAGCCAGGCCATTCCCTACGGAATGCTGCCCGCAATGGCCCAGTGATGGACAAATCCCCGTGCCAGGATGACTTTTCCCTACACAAACACATCACCAAGGGGGTGTCAGACCCCAAAGGGGCGTCCTGTCCCTGTGGCAAGGTGTGATCCCGCCTTGGGCAGCGAGAGGGGAGCCAGGGAGCAGCACAGACCCCAGGAAGTCTCTCCCAGGCACCTCAGCACCACTCAAAGGCACAAATTCTATGCATCTTCCCACCAACGATGAATTAAGGAATTGTGAAGGTTGGAAAAGACCTCTGAGGTCACMAAGTTCAGCCGTAAAAAAGGCRCCACCCCCCAAGCTGGGAAAGCTTTCCCCTCCACTTCCACTCCATCCCAAATAACTCAGTGCCAATCATTAACCACTTAACCAGGGAGACAACAGGAGTTAAAATTCAGGACACAAACTGTCTGTCCTTTGCCCCCATGGCACAGAAATCCTGAGAAAATGCCCCAGATAATGTCCACCCCCGCCCTGTTCACCCCCTAATCAACTCCCAGTGATCTTCAGCAGTGCCAACATCCACACAGGTTATTGCTTTAGTACTAAAAAGTGATTTAAAAGAACAAAAATATCCTACGAGAATYGAATTATAGTGTTACTTTGTTATTTACCTTTGGAAAAGTCAGTTTGCAGAGAACTTTCTGAAGGTCTGCTGGGGTCAAATTGCACCATGGCCATGACCAGCCCACCCTGCTGCTGTTCCCCAGTACTGGTTCAATGTCCCAGTTTGTTCCTCCCACACCACCACAACAAAAAAGAAAAA